TTACAGTGTGCTTTTTTAAGTTTGGGATTTTATTACTGAGAAAACTCCTGCTTATCGTATTTAGACCAATCTTTCTTTATTGTAATTCCTGGTGCTTTCGCTAATCCTGATTTCTTTTAATAAAACTGATGGTTGTTTTGAGGTCATTTAGTTTAGAATAAGTTTGTTCTCATAACTTTGATGTATTTCTGAAAAGCGGAGCTCGAATAAATCTTAGCAGGAGCTCTGAATTTAGCCTAATGGTCTGTGTTTTTCATTAACAAGATTCAGCAAATATTATTATCTACTGTTTGCAAGCTTTATGAGTTATCGGTTGCGCAAGACAATCTTAGATTGGCTTTTGAGTACTTAAAATACGTTAAAATATAGTTACGGTGGTTATGCTTAAAATGTGCTTTTCTCTTGACTGGTTTGAGGTGTCATCTCTCCCGAGCTTTAATTGAATTACCAGGTGAGAAGAATATGAGTTGGCTGTTAAATTGGACAGTATAGGGTAAAGAACATCGAGCTCTCAAAGAGCGTTACAGGAGGAAGGCTTTGACCATCTTTCAATTAGAAAGTGCTGATAATCGCAACATGTATACATCTTTTTTTTTGGTCCAACCAGTTGGACATCAAAGAGCAGCGACCTAAGGATAGGTAGTTGCAAAAGTTATTCTTAAGTCTGACGAGCAACAGAATAGGAATAAAGAAATTTTGATCAAGAAGCGCTACAAGAATAACATATTTGATCAAAGAAAAATTAAAGGTGTTGCTGGAAGGTCCTCAGGTGCATTTAGAAGAATTTAAATTACACAAAAGCCAACCAATTGGAGATTCGCAACAGAGGACACAGAAGATGAAGAAAATGAAAGAACCTATCAAAGGCGAGACGGCTATGATGGAGGCCGAAAACAAAAAATTGTCCCAGACGATCTCAGGATTGAAAGGTGGACGCCAAAAGGAAGAAACCGAGGCATAAGAAATCTGGAACAATGAAAATAAATTTTTGAAAACGTTATATGAGGGATTTGGAGTTCCTAGAGTATTATCACTTAGGTTAGGGAATAATCTACCAAATGAATCTCAAGGGAGACGTTAGGAAGGGTCAAGCGTGAGTTCAGCTGAGGCTCCAGAAGCGTTTCCGTTACGTTTAAAACTACTTGAAATGGAATTGCCTAAATTCAACGGTAATCCGCTAAAATGGTCCACCTTTTAAGGCTATTTTGCTTCTACAATTCATGAGAATACTAATCTGCGAACTATTGATGAGTTCCACTTCTTAGTTTCTTTGCTCGAAGGTTGAGCGAAAATGGCCATAGAATACTTGTCAAGAAGAAACGATATGTACCTGGACGTAATAGATATTTTAAAAAAGAAATTTGGAAGTGAAGAAATGCGACACCAGATGTATACAAAACGTAAAAAAATCTTTCAATGGCAAAGGAAGACTCCAATAGTCTGAGAACAACGGTGAAAGTGATTGAGCAAATTTCGTCAGAATTGGGAAGTTTTCAATTCGGGAGTGATCATCGAGCTATCATGATGATCATCCAGGAAAAGTTTCCATCAAATATTATTTACCGGGTTGAAAAGATAAGATTGGCGGGGGACAAGGGATGGAATTTGGACAGAATTTTGAGAATTCTATATCACATTATTGAAGCGAAGGAAAGCGCTGGAAATGATATGATAAAGAGAACAAGAAAATTAAATGGAGAGCGTCGTCCTCCTAAAAAACGCCCAATATCGGTACGAAAACCATCTTTTTATAAGGTTACGGTGAACCAAACGAAGGAGAGAAAACTGCCCTGCGTTTTTTGTAAAGGAAATAATTACAGCAGTGAGTATCAAGTCTATAAAAAATTAGACCAAAGAAAAAAGAGAGCTTACAAATTAGAGCTACGCGTAAGATGCTTAAGAACAGGACACCAATTTAAAAACTGTCAAATGGGACGGAACGATTACCACTGCCGTAAGAATCATAATTCTGCGTTTTGTGAACGCTTTGATAACCAGTTAACAAATAAGTCCTTGAACGAAAGGGAAGAAAAGCGAGAAGGAACGCAAATGTCAACCTTAGAAGTCAAATCGGTCACAGAGCGAGAAACCGGAGAGGCTTCGACCCCAGTTGTTAAAACCGTTGTAAGTAGTCCAGTCAATGATGAAATGAAAAAGGAAACTCATTTATTTTTTGACAGCGGTAGCCATTGTTCGTTCATATCAAACAAGTTAACTCAAGAATTAAACTTGCCGGTTATTCGTAGGGAACTGTTAATGTTACATACGTTTGCTGC